GAATGTTTTGCAGATTGTTCAGTTCACTACACCATTGCATCCATTTCCCGTTCAAGTCCTGTGGCAGTTTTTCATCCCATTCCACATGTCGTTGCCATAGCTGCTGGAATAGAGCTTTTGCCCTAACAGTGAATGGTGACAACCATTCGAGGGGGTCGTACAGGCGAGCCGTTGTTTTGAGAAGGGATCTCTTCGTGCTCATTCCAGAATCTGGTTGCGTAGTCGTCGATGGAGTGAACGTCAGGTGATCAGTGTGGGGGCTCCACGTCAGTCCCAGCACCTTGAGGACGCCCGTGAAATATCCCAGGTGCTTGGCCTCACAACTGTCATTCATGAAGCGTTCGTTCATACTCTGGTTATTTAAGGCCCACTTGTGGAGTGTCATGGAAGCAGTTCCGAAGATGGCGTTTGCGTCGTTGTAAAGCCTCAGAGCTTCCTCCTCGTTTTCTGCTCCCGTCAGGAGGTCGTCGACGTACAGGCAATCCGCAAGAAGCGTTGCTGTGTCTGGGTAGTCTTCCTCCATGCTCTTCAGATGATGCCTGAGGGTTGCCACGAGCAGGAATGGCCTGGCTGTCGTTCCGAAGGGAACTCTCGTCATGCGCCAAGCTTGTACCTGGGGTCGCGGTTCAGTCGCGTCTGGCGTCGTCTGGTACCACAGGAAGCGCAATGCGTCCCGGTCCTCTTCCTGTATTACAATCTGCAGGAATGCTTTTTCGATATCTGCCACCAACGCGATTCTGTGGCTTCTGAAGTTGAGTAGCAAGCCAACGAGGTCAGCGGTCAAGTTAGGTCCGCTTTCAAGGTTTTGGTTAAGTGACCTTGACCTGTTGCCATGCGATGAAGCGTCAAACACGACGCGCAACCTCGTCGTACTGCTTGAATCTCGGAGCACCGCCTGATGTGGCATGTAGTAGGTCGGCTTCTGCTCGTCGACGTCGTTCCTCGTTACCGGCTCTGCCATTCCTTCCAAACAGTACTGTCTCATTACAGCGTCGTACTCGCGAAGCAGGTCCGGTGTTTTTTGGGGACGGTTCGTCAGCTGGGTCAGTCGTTTTTCTGCTATTTCCCTGTTGTCGTCGAGATTCACGTTTGATTTCCAGGGACCACAACTTCGTATCGGGAACCACCTCGTTTGATGGTCTCCTCGAAGGAGTCTAGCTGCCGTTGTTTCGCCGAGTCAACTCCTTCGTCTTCAGTCACTCCGATTGACTGCAGTGTCCAAAACCGCTCTAAGCAGTCTGTTGCTTCAGCCGTTGCCACTGATGTCTTGAGGGCGATCGTTTGCGTACATTGTACGTCGTGAACTGTTCCTCTCACGGGACCCTGGATACTCCATCCGAATGCAGTCTCGACCGCTCTTAGTTTCTTTTTTAGTGGTTTGGATTTCCCCGTCACAAGGTCCCAGTAGTGCTCTGAGCCGATGAGAAGGTCAATATCACCACGTTGCTAGTTTTTACTCGAGTCGGCCATCCTCAATTGCCCGAGTAGTTTCTTCAGGTTGGGTTCTGGGATAGGGATCTTCTGATCGCATATCACGTCCGTTTCAAGAACTTCGAGCTTATGTGTCTTGCCGTTTTGTGCCGTTAATGAAACCAGTACCCTGCTAAATACTCGTTCTGATTGGTGTCCGCCGAATACTCCGACGGTCAGTGTCTCCTGTCCCAAGATCTTGCACTCGAGACGTTCGGACGCGTTCTTTGTAATGAACGAACGTTGGCTCCCTCCATCGAAGAGAGCTCGGACGAACATCCAGTTGGTTTCTCCTGTACACCAGATTGTTGCAGTCTGGAGAAGGACAGCTGGCCCGGCAGCTTCGCCTGTGGCGGTTTCCAGATTCACTGGGACGCTCGTTATCGCATTTCGGTTTGCTTCTACCTTGGTTGACGTGTAGCCTGGGTCGCACATCGTTGTCGCATGCCGTTTCGAACACTTCGTGCATTGCATGCTGCTTCTGCATTCATTCGAGCGGTGATTAGGTTTCGTGCAACGGAAGCATCGTCTCTCCAAGCGCAGCAGTCTTTTCTTCTCTTCGATTGAAATGTCAGCAGAGCAGGCAGCTGTCGCGTTGTTTTTTTCTTTGCAGAAGAAACAGCTATCAGGTTTCGTTGTTTGATGCAGTAATGCTGCGGAGGATTGATAGCGTTCTCTGGGACTTCCCTTTTTCTCGTTTTTTTTCTCTGAACTGAATCCACGCGGCTGTTGCCTCGTGTCCATAGCTTGTTGTGCAGCTAGGTTCTCGCGGCTCTGGACTTCAGCTCTCAAGGCAAGCAGTCGTGAGAATAGTGTCACGATACCTCGTTCAGTGGTGCTTGTCTCCGTCGGTCGTTCCTGAGAGTCCTCGGATCCGGTGGACATCCCTCCGGCTGAAGCGTCCAGCGTCGACACGTCCGATGCTTGCTCGTTCACGATCGTTCTGTTAAAATCCAGCAGGATTTCTTTTGGCAGCGCACGCTGAACCACTGGAAACAAAAGAGCACAGAAGGTCTGATGCCTCTGTCCGAGTGCCTCCAGTCCTCGGAGATGGGAGATGATGGTGTCGTAGAGTCGACGGAGACCCCGGACGTCGTCGGCGTCTCGCACTGGCTGTAGATCTAGGAGCTTCCGCATGTGTGTCTGAACAAGGACATCCTCATTTCCGAAGCGTTTCTTCAGCAGAAGCACGGCGTCCTCGTAGCACCGTGATGTGGGAGGCAAACCCCTGATGGCACTTGACGCCTCGCCGGTCACCGCAGCCCTCAGGTACCCGAACTTGTCCAAAGTCGTTAGCTGGTCGTTGGTGTGTATTACTTGCTCGAACTGCTCCCAGAACTCTTGCGAAGAGATGCTTTTGCCGTCGAACTTGTGTAGCTCGAGCTTCGGGAGCCTCCCTCGGCAGGCAGTGGTTGTCGCGTTTCCGTTGTTGCTCATCGGCGATGAATCCAAATTTCGTGGTAATCCTGCTCGGACTTCCTTCAACTCTTCTTGAAGTGTTGCAATACAGGTGACGACCCGATCATTGTATTCAATTGTTCGCATAAAGTTTTGCTCGGCTTCTCCTTCCGGCACTAGTGGCTCGATGGCGGCGTCCACCTCGTTCAGTTGTGCTTGGAGGGCGCCAAGCCTTGCGGAGGAGATGCTGAGGTTTTTTTCGTTTTTCTCGTTCCTTTCGATGTACGAATCAATTTCAGAAAGGAGTTTGGTCACCTGTGTTCGCAGTGCAGTTCGTTTCCCCTTGAGTCGTTCCATGATCCGGAGCTTGTTTCCTCAGTCGTTGGCGAATCCAAGATGGCTCCCGCCTTCTTCTCGTTGCCTGAGCCGTTGGAGAATCCAAGATGGCTATCCAAGATGGCTCCTGCCTTCTTCTCGTTCGTTGTTTTCACTTTTCTTTCGTTGGATGTTCTGCTTTGAAGTCATGTCCTAATTTCCTTCATCCCGGGTTTCGGCACCAACTTTTTAACAGTGTGGAATTAGGGAAAGGACTCGTTGGTTTTTAGAATAACAGAACGTGGTTTATTGATATTGAAAACTAATTTAAGCAAAGTTAGAGAAGGCACGTCCTTCTTCGACTGTCGTTCCAACAAGAAGGGCGCAGTCGCCCCCACCAAGCGTCGGTCCAAGAGGGGTTCGTCGTTTATGACCCCACGGTGGGGCGCGCTCTCCCCGCGGCTCTCCGTCCCTCTCCTTGGTTTCCCGGAAAGGGGCTGGTGCCTCGGTTTCTGCTCGTCTTCGAAGTCGCTCTTCCTTCCCTCTTCCCGGCTCGGGCATCTCCACGTTTTCTTCTTTTTATTTTACAACAAATTATAAAGAAGTAGATTGAGTATATAAAAGCGTAGAAAACGATGCAACGCCTACTAGTCTGTGGGTGTTCATGCATTACTCATTCGGCTAAACCATAGTCCTGCGCCGTTATCGCATCGTCGAGGCCGCGGCACGTCGCCATGGTGAGAATGACGTCTACATGTACTTTCTCTGCTCTGTGCAACAGTCTTTTTGATAACCGTGATTGCAGCTTTTTGGAAGCCACAGAAACGGGGGTTCGTATTCGTTTCTATTTTTACTATTGAATGTGTGCCTTAGATGACTTACGACTTTGATTATATTTGATATGGATCGGTTCGAACGGCACGTGATCGTGGAAAGAGAGTTAGCGCGACTGAAACCGGTCGATTGTCGACCGCTGATTTTGCGGGTGGAAAGAATGCAAACTTCTAGCGACAAATTGTGTTCTGGGTAGTCGGGCTCTTGTCGGTCATGTTCAAACAAAAATCTCGGAGGGCACAAATGCCCCGTCAGTGTCCCTTCAGTCTCGACATTCATTCTACCATCACCTTGCATTATAGACACAATGTCGCCGAGGTAATATTTCCTCAATTAATGCCTAAATATAGCTGAAGATCTTTGAAATAACAACTACTTTTATGTTGTTATGACGTAAAGGAAGGAATGAAACTCTAACGAAAGTTGTTAATGGATCATCCGCATTGCACCACCACGCCGGCATTTCTTTCTTGCCACCCTACATATATGTATACATCTCTTCAGTTATCTGCATAAACCTGGCGGTAAAAGCAAAATATGGTTTTAAGTATATTAATATATTTTGATACCAAAATGTAGCTCTGGCGCTCCTATAGTGCCCGGAAAGGTTGCGGAATTGTATGTTCCTAACATGAAGTGTAGGCGACACGACATACCTAATAAAGTTTAGCCTTTCAACAAACTGCTTAGACTTTTTGAAGGGAAGGCACGCAAGTCAGTATCCACAGTGTGTTGCTAGCTCGAATGTGTATGCCAGTACCCGAAAGTGTGTCTCAAATTTAATTTCTCTATTCATATTGTCTCTACTTCAGAACTTCGTGGATTTAGGTTTTTCAATAATGCGTTACTTACCCTATTCTTTTAAGCTTCTAATATTACATAAGGTATTCTATTTTACTTTTTATTATGATGCGATGTGACTCTAATGGCGTATTTCCTCCCATATATTCTTAATAATGTTAGTAACCTTTATATACTTTCAGCGCGGTTTGTCAATCTCCTCGAGATGGCGGGCAGCTGGTCTTTCTGTGTGTTTTCGTCAGCGTTCCTGAGTGTGGATACATTCTTCTTCTTAAGGTAAACAACACGAAACGCTTTTTTATGCACGTTTCTATAAACAACAAAACAATATAATTACACCTTTGCACCGAACTGTCGGAAGAATACATGGCTTTAAACAGTTCCAACAAGTAATAGCCCACACCCTCGTTTAATCAGATTTATGTGTTACTCCCTTCAACTGCGTTGAATAAGTCAGATACTTGCAGATGGAAAAGCACATGACTTCGTTTGAAAAAAAGAAGAAGGATATAACTGATTGCGAAGGCTGTGCCACGCTCAGTTCACTGTTTTTGTAGTGTTTCGAACAGTGCTGGCAAAGCCAACGGGCATTCTCGGTGAAAGCTGAGGAGAAAACAACACAGCCTAATAATTTCTTCTATGTTTGTTTTCGCAGTGGTTTCTTGCTTGCCTACAATATCGTGCAACAAGATGCCAACAAGTTCTTGGTTTTTTTAATAGCCATCATACGCCGACAAATCAGGTGAGCAGAGAGTAAACAATGATAAAGATATATTAGTCTTGTGGCTACTGAATTATTCTGTAAAAAAAATGTAAGCTCATTTACGCGGTTACACAGGAACAGCAGCTTGCTGCTTGCGTAGTTCGCAATCACTGAGGCTCTGTTGTCCTATGTGCGCTTCCTCGTCAGGACGATTCTAGGAATTTCGAAGACATTTTCGCTTCCGCCTTCCCTTCCACCCCCGTGCCTCATTCGTACTTCGTCTACAACGAGCTTCCTTACGCCGCCGTAACTCAAATCTGCATTCTTCGATTACAGAACGGAATTATTTTCGAGGTCGAGTTATACGGCGTGCTAAATCGCCCGGGCAGATGGTTGCGCTCATGTACGTGCAGGCACTGAGGGGTGTCGACCAACTTTACTATCGACGCCCTCAGATCTATCAGTACACAAGCTGTGCGGAAGAGGCGTTTGAAAACAATTCTTCTCCGTTGTCGCCACGCGAGAAAGTACTAATTAGCGCTTTGGAGCCTACACTAGCCTCGACTGTGTAGCACCGAAGAACCTTGGTTGCCATTGACGAGGTGAGAGCGAGAAGGAGAAGCTTCAGTTGTCTGGCCTCCAGCGTGAGCTTCCTACCTTTCAGAACGCTTCGGCGTCCCGCGCACCTCGATCGTGCACTCGCAGCCAAAGCACGACGGAAGGCATGAAACACGTGCTAAGGCCGGGCGTTCGAAAGACGCGCCATGGTGTTCTCACTCTGGCAGTGACCATAGATCAAACAAACCGATTTGAACGAGCATTTGATGCATGCGTGACGCCGCCGTCACCTAAGTTGGCCTCCAGCGAGTTCGGTCCTTGTGCGAAAATAGTTACATTCCCTGGATGGAACGCTGCAGCGGTATCGTAACCACGCAAGCTGATAGCATCGAGTTATTGGCGTCCACTACAGCAAACTTTACTATAGATCACGGAACTTCCCCTCGACGATTCAAATACTTTACTAATAAAAATGTATCCTACTCCTCGATAATAAAATGGCATCGGCGCGGACAGGTCTGGCACAGTGGGAATGGTTGGATGAACAGGAACCTTGGGTTTTTCCCTGTTTAATTTGGAGCCGTGGGAGGCGCCGCCTACTTCCATTAAAGTCTCCTCGGTTATCAGGCATTCGCGCCGGTGGTCGAAAGTCGCGCCCCAGGCTTTTGGCGTTTTCAGACACGATCGAACAACCATGTCCGGCGACAATTTTTAATTTTGATGAAAAAAAATATTTTGCTGGATTCGTGCCCAGAAAAACAAAACTAACCCTTGTTTTGAAAAAAAAAATAGCGTATTTGATGAAAAAAAATTATAAGCACCCTCTTGGTCGCGTGCGCATTTTGCGGATCGCGCGATGTTAGCATTTCGGGCGGCTTTCCCCAAAAAACTGTTCTCGCTCCGGGTCTAGAAAATTTACTGTGAAATTAGGCTTAGGAATGTATGACAAAAAGTATTATTCACTGTCAAATAGGATCGTTATTTTGAAAAACGAAATCGCAAATATGACACAATGCGCAATAACGCTCTGGATTAAAGATTTGTTTTCTCCATATCTACAAAAGCTAAGGTATTCAAACTTTGCCAGGGTGTTTCTATGTATATAGTTCATCTTTACATAAAATATTGATGTCCTGGTTACCGGGAAAAAATACAAGAATTGCTCACATAGGGACATTTGACTAAATATTCATTATTTTGAAAACCAATTTTCAAATAAGGCCATCGTGAATATTTTTTAAACTATCCGCATTTAACGTTTATAATATGTACTAAAAGAATCTGCAAAAACATAATAAATATTAGCGTGGCGTTGAAGTTAAACATGGATAAATATAAACAAATTGACGCTAACGCGATTGCCATAAATGGGGTCGTGCACATACATATTCTTGACAATTTCATTATTATTAAAATTCTAAAAATGCTATCGGGTGGTTAGAAAAAGACAAATTGACAGCACAGAGCTGGACGGTAGTTTTGAACGGAAACTTCCTAATACATTTTTGTCCAACCCGGCCACTGATCTTCATTATAGGAGGCTGGATGGCGCATAGCCGCTCTCCCCGCAGGGCGTAAGTGAAGCCAACTGAAGTGTGATGCTTGCGCCGTAAGCCCGGCCTCTGCTGAGTTTCCTAGTGCATTCAGTCGATGCTTTGGTCAGTACTTTTAATTGTCTTTGAGTGGATTTTAATAATGATACTCCGAATTAAGTCCCGAAAATGAGGCATTTCAAGCTGGGAAATATGCACCCTTGATCAACTAGAATCTCGAAATGTTTACATTGAATGGTTTCCCATAATCCTTGTCGGGTCTGCATGCGCTCTTACTGCGTAACAAGCAGGCTCTCTTGAGGGGACAAGCGAAAATCCAGCGCCGTCGACGCTTTTCGAACCAGCACTCTGAAGGGACTATTTCCGGGACAAGCCGCTCACTTCCGGTGTCTTCATAGCTGTGCAACCGACCCAAAAATGTTCATTGGGCGGAGAGATAGAGCGGAGGTGGTCCGTGGAAGCAGAAGGGGGTGGGTACTCTTCGTGGAAGCAAGGTCTACGGGTGGTTCCGTAACTGAGCTAACTTAATTACTATAATTGCAGCCAACACCTCGGACAATGTGGGAATCTTGGTACCGCAACAGCGGGTCTTTCGAACGCCCGACCTGCAGCACGCGCAGAGCTAACTGCCTTTGTCTCGAATCACTCTTCAAACGGGTTCGAAAGCCGAACGCCGGCGTTCCCATGTTCGGCCTTTCCGTTTGAAAGCGGGCACTTTGCCGTCTCCGCGTGCTCTCGCTCTCCTCTCCTCCTTTCTCTCAATTTGTACCCGTTTACCGCCTTCAACTTGCGGAAATATGTCCCGCCGACAGCTCAGTTGGTAGAGCGGTTGATTATAGAGGAAGTGATTGCTGTCATACGAGCATCCCTGGTTCAAATCCGGTTTGAGAGGACGGGGAATTTTGTTTCCTTATAAACCCAGCGCCGGGGGTGGTGGCGGCTGGGAGTTATCACGTGATTAATGACGCCACAGGGAGTTTTCGCGAAGGACGAGCATGCAATTTACTGGTCAGGTTCCCACTTAAAGCTATCGTTGTTAAAGGAATCACTTGGCAAGAATCTGTTCGCTTTAGTGTAAAGTGAGCTTTCGCTTAACTTGTCTCGAGTCACTTTATTTACTCGCCGAATGAGTGAAATCATATCTTTATTTTCGACATATTCGATTATCCCGAATTAAAAACAAACAAAATGTTGCAATACCCCGAACAAAACCGCATATTTTTTATGCGTTAAGCGTAGTGGTGCAAAACGCCAGCGAAGCCATAGGAGCGCGTGGCCTCGGGCTATCGCGGTCCTCATACCGGCAGCAAGAGTGACCACTCACGTCGCGTGCCGGCCGGTTCCAAGATTAGCGGCTACTCACGGTGTTATTTTTGACAGCGATGTTCGGAAACGTGCCGAAACAGCCAGACCATGAAAGCCGCTGACCTCGGAACTCGTCTAAGCTCGATAGGACTGCTTCTTTTCGTCGCCGGCACAACGCGCGTGCCTAGTCCGAGGCCACACGCTTCATTGGCTCCGTTGGCTTGGCTTCTCCACGCATATAAAGATGTGCAAGCAAGTATGAACCATATAGCCAAGGAAATAGCATAGTAGAATCTCATAACAAAACAAAATACACAAATTATTCGCATTTAATCAAAAAATCAACGTAGAAAAAGTAAATTGGAAGTAATTTAATTCAGTAGCTTATTTTAAATTAATATTGAACGTGACAAAAAAAACTACTATTTGAAAGCAATATTGCGGCGCGCCAAGTAGGCAGCGCGGCCGTAGCCTAACGGTTATCGCGCTTGCCTCCCACGCGAAGGGCCAGGGTTCGATTCCTGGCCGCGGCTATGCATTTTTGTTAACTCTGTAATGTGATGTTCTGGTGAAAGCGAGAACCGTCTAGCTGATTCGAGGTCAGAATGTTCTACGCTTCGAACCTTCTACGTCGAATGCTCCAGAAGCCAACGTGTGTACAAAAGCAGCTCCGCGGGCCAGCCAGAGCCAGTCTCGCCCCAGCGTTCGACTCCGCTGCCACGCCGAATTCGACGCCCGCGACGCTCTATTATTATCTTTTGTACTCTTTTATTTTTCGGCACAAGTTCGCCACATTAAACGTTTATTTCTCCCTGTTTATTTCCTGTTTTCTTTTGGTCACCACCCGTGACATTTTGGTCGAGGTGCGGGGTAATGCCGCGCGCCAAGTAGGCAGCGCGGCCGTAGCCTAACGGTTATCGCGCTTGCCTCCCACGCGAAGGGCCAGGGTTCGATTCCTGGCCGCGACTATGCATTTTTGTTAACTCTGTAATGTGATGTTCTGGTGAAATCGAGAACCGTCTAGCTGATTCGAGGTCAGAATGTTCTACGCGTCGAACCTTCTACGTCGAATGCTCCAGAAGCCAACGTGTGTACAAAAGCAGCTCCGTCTAGCTGATTGACGTAGAAGGTTCGAAGCGTAGAACATTCTGACCTCGAATCAGCTAGACGGTTCTCGATTTCACCAGAACATCACATTACAGAGTTAACAAAAATGCATAGTCGCGGCCAGGAATCGAACCCTGGCCCTTCGCGTGGGAGGCAAGCGCGATAACCGTTAGGCTACGGCCGCGCTGCCTACTTGGCGCGCGGCAATATTTTTACGTTTAAAATAGTTTGTGTAGTATGTCCTTATCTTTTCTATGTGTGGCCATGAGGGGCTTGAAGATTGTCCGACGATTCTTTTATGCTAGATGGTCCAAATACGCGTCCCACGGTGGCTATAAAACAGCCTTATGACAGTGCGTGGAAAGGGTCGTAAATATAAAATTAATATTTGCGAAACAAACCCGAACCGCCCAAGGGTGTGGAGGCTATGTGCAAGCGCACAAGGGTGTGAAGGCTTGGAGAATGTCGTTCTGTCAAACATCAAAAGTTTGAAAAATATAATCGTTTTATGGCAAGCGGCACGTCTGGTTTAAAACTATTCACATTTCCTTTGTATGTGTCACTTACCTTATGCGTGTTTATTTTGAATATTTATTTATATATAGGTAAGCGACGAAGTATTAAAAACTGCGATAAATACATTTGAAGCCATAAAAAACGCAGACAAGAGAAAACGAGAAGAGTACCAACCCAACAAAGTATATTTTCGCATTTCGTCGTGATTGTCCTCTGCATTCCTTTCCTGCTTTGTTTCTGGATTTCTTTTCAATACGTCGTGCACCAGCTCACCTGATGTGTAACTCTCATTTCAACATGTAGTCCACTTCAAAGCAATTCGACTACTCCGACAAAAAAAAAAAAAAACGGAAACAAGATACAGACGCGTTTCTGAAATGCAAACATCGATTGCTGCAGGTTGGCATAAGTGCGCACAGCGCATTTGATCTTCAGGTTCCGCATTGCTCTTCGGCACCTCGCGCGCGAGCTCGATATGTTACGTAACCATACAACTCACAGAGCGCTAATTCTGCAAAGCTGTTCGTCAAAATTTCACATTCTCCAAGTCCTATGTTTGCCTTATAAAAAAAAAAACATTGTGTTCCAGGGTGACGGTACCGCTTGTGTTCTGCATCGGCTGTTTCTACCTCGTTCCTCTTCTTACATCGGGTCCGAATTCCGAGGTCCTGTTCGATAAGTTCTACAACGAAGTTCAGACGCACTGGTGGAAGCTTCTGCTGCAAGTCCGAAACTTTGCGAAAGCATCTGATCTGGTATGTATGATTTTGCAGGTGTATTAGGATAAACGTGAATATTAAATGACGACTGCAGAATGATAAAGAACACTTCCTCATTCAGCGCGAATAAAGAACACATAGCTTGAAAATGTTGCTATTGCAAAGTTATTTTCACTTACTGGTTTCTTCGAACCACAACTTCCGTGGTGTGAAACTAACACAGCGAGCCGAACGCTCGCGGCGCGTAAAATACTGGCATGACCGCAGCAAATGACGCCACATGCATGAAATGCATTATGTTTCGCTTTAAAAGAAGGTTTCTACTTCAAACGCCAATGAAGGTATGGCGCTAATATAAAAATTGGCGAGATCCCTGCTGGATCTTAGACTGTTCGCAGGGTTATGTTGTTTCTTTGGCAGAGCTCAAAGTGTCATATTTACTCTGGTCATTTGTAGTTTTTTTTTTTTTTTGTTCTTCTTACGAGAGATTGTCATAAGGCCAACTCATAGTCCACCAATCTGCGCAGCTGGTATTGCTAAGTTGTTACAAACGTCAATACTTTCCTGAACGCTTAGATAAAGCGCGAAACACATGTACGACGAAACCGTCCGATCCGACGTGCGAACTGCCGGAATGACCTTGGGGGCGAGGGTTTTCTCAGCACCGGAGAGCGTTGAAAACCCTCGCCTCCGACCGTCATATCGCCTGATCGGACGTCGGATCGGACGGTTTGGTCGTAGTGTGTTCCGCGCTTAAGAGATACAAGTAGTGTTTTTCCATGCCGTGTACATTGCCTGAACTGAAAGTCCTTCAAGGATAGCGCTACCGCCTTTTCTTGTTGGTATGGTTTGAGTCTTAATAGTATTATTTTTCAAGGTAGGCGAAACAAGAATTACATTGAGAACGACACTACATGACCTCAAGAGAAAAACGAATCCTATAATGTTCAATCGAGTGGAATTCGAGTGCAGAGTGTGTTAATACTATTGGCACCTCAATAAAAGGCCATGCTCTTTTACCGAGAATTAAAAAGGAATTCCTAAGAATAATTATGCAAGTTACTCATTTCAATCCTGGTTGAAAGTTATTCTTAGGGAACAATTAAGCGCCGTTCACACTCTTGCGACCGACTTCGACCGAGAGAGACCAGACCGGTTTTCAAGCCTTTTGCGACTTCTTAGGACCGGATGCCCTGCAGCGGAGCTGGTCCTAAGAGGTTGCAAGAGGCTTAAAAACCGGTCTGGTCTTTCTCGGTCGTACTCGGTTGCAAGAGTGTGAACGGACCTTTAGAGTCATATTGTGGAGTGTAAAATTTGTGATTTTAATTCCTTGCTGCTTTCGACTCGCATCAATCACGCTTTTTACGGTTCAGAAACAAGATCTTAGAACAGTACGGTCAGTCTATCCGCTTGTGTTTCTTGATAATTTATTAGTTGAGCCTTTGCATAAATAAATCAACGCTATGTCTTTTTGTTTTTTTCCAGGAATGCTTTTCCCACCTATGGTACCTCTCAACGGACTTCCAATTATTCGTAATTGGCCTCTGTATTCTCCTTATTTTTAGAAAGTAAGATTTCTTGCTTCACTTTACATTCTCTAATTACATTCGAACAATTCCCGTAATAATCCTTTGCAGTATTTGGAATTAAATATTAACTGGCAATCTGCAAAGGCTTATTAGCACCGCTAAAATAATGTATCTGCCCATAAATAAGGTCTTACTTCCGAACTTTGGGAGGCAGAATAATCGCCACAAACTCAAAAGTTTTATTCCAATCAATTTATTTAGAGTTTTTTTTTAAATACGAATACTCGTCTGCTCTCGCCTGTTAAGAATATACTAAATTTTGAATATTTAAAAGCGCGTTGTTAATGATTGCAAAGCTTCATCAGTAACAGACTTCAGTCTATTCTAGTAGCTCAGTATTCGTTCTAATAATAAATACACTGTACCATATCTCGTTTAAAAGGTTTTGTTAACAACGTCAGCACTCCGTGGGCCTCCACATCGACCAGTGATCTGGATTACTCAATCAATTAATATTTCAGTTTGAATACAAAAACTGAAGCTGTTGAGTAAAGCAGTGTTTCTCAGTTTTTAAAATGTATCACGAACCATAACTGACACTGCTCAAGGTTTTTCTTCTTGTAGACGGTACAGTTGGTCAACACACACCTGAGACATGGGTTGTATTACAAAGTATACAAGGGTAGAAAACAATATCAAATTCAAATTATCACATTATAGTAAAATCAAATTTAAAAAAACAACAATTGTGACTAACGTATGTTAACATTTACATAGCGTAGTTTGTTTTAAATATGGGTAATAAAATTTTTTTTATTGTATATTTTATTTATAACATATTTAAAACGTTCGAAGTCTTGAAATCAGTAGTAATTATTTGCTCTTGTTCCTTACACGTAAACATAAAGATATATATTCATAAATGTTTTTTTCCGGTCATAATTTTAAATTGTAAGTATTTTATGGCCGTTGAAGAGTTATCTGTCACACTTTAATTTCTCAGCATTTCATTTTTCAAAATTATATTTTGGAAAACTAGTCACCACCTAGTTACTCCAATCAATAAGTTGGTAACCTAAATGCGAATATCAAATAAACTATGCCTTCAGTGGTAGAGATATATGAGTCCATCCCATCAAACGCTGTCGAACACACATGGGACTAAAATTCAAGAAGACAAGAAAAATTAAGGTAATGCTTTATTAATCTCCCGGAAGCAATAAAATCAACAATTTTAAATTGCAGTGTCATGACTCGCTTTGGAATACAGGCGTTTCTATATAGTACGAACGATTGCAACCCCTTGCACACAACCGAATGCCAAATTAAATGGAAGGACTGGAAATAAACTCACGATTTTCTTATTTGTTCGATATATATGGTGTACCACATAACTTGCACCAAACATAAAAAAACGTTTTGCTATGTGCGAGTGAAACCAACTGTATATTGTTAGCAAACGTCTGATGAAAGTAACGAATTTTTCTTAGTGCTCCTCGTCATTTAAATACTTAAGACTAATCAGCTAACTTTGCATTATTCGTTAAAGAGCCAAGGCATGAATTGGAAAGTTGTAGAGCGCATTAAGGAACAACGAAATAAAGTGTTTGCTACATGGCACGTTTTGCGTGCTTTTTCTAATTATCCCCAAAAGAAAGCTCGTGAAATATAAAAAAAAACACAACTTGACAACGCGTTCTCAGACGTGCTCTTAAGGAACGAAGTGCACCTTATCACTAGCGCGCTGTCCGAGACCGGGTTCTGCGGTAGCAGGTGATCGCGCTTATCTTCGGGGCTTTCACCGACACAAAGCCCTCGGAGAGCAAGCCAGGGATAAAATGCCTTTAGTTCCTTCAAAGCGCATTTGAGGGCGCTGCAAGCGTGACGCGCGGGCGCCTTGTCAGGTGCTCTTTACGCACAGTGCGCCTTAAATGTAACGCCGCCACGGCATTCGCCGTTTCTGAGAGTCCCTACGGCGGCCGATTGAACTATATGAAGAATGTTTGGGTTCCCGATTTCTATCCCATCCTGAGAAGGCATCTCGAACGTTTTGGTGACCAATTTAACAGTAAGTAGCCGACACAAGCTCAATGTTCGGGACCACAATGGCGGCGTTAAGTTTGGGATGCACTGTACATTTTAGAAGCTTTATTTTGTGCTAATTAGTAGAAACGTGCAAAGCTCATTTTATGCAAAACACCTTATTTTGGTGTTTCCTAGTGCTCTTTATATCTTTCCATTTCACGCCTCAGCCGCTAGAGAAATAAATTTAAAAAATCGCTAATTAGACTTAAATAGCTAAATAACTAAGCAAACTAATGCAGTTTTGTGCACTTTCATAAGATGCATGTAAACAATATACTTTTGGTTTCACTCCCACACTGCACTTTGCTTCTTGTTTTTTAATGTTTGGTGCAAGTTATCTAGAACACCCCGTAGAGTGCTACAAATTATAATCTGGACAAGATTATCATCCGCTTCAACGTCCCAAAGTTTATTTATAGCTTCAAATGTCCACAGTCCGAAACCATTTTAGGCATTTGTGATATATGACAGTCGCATTACTGTAAACAAAATGATTTTGGTCACTATGGTTATGCTCCAATATCAGCATTCTATAATATATGCTCCAACATATAATATAGAAGGGTTCTGAGCTGGGCTAGTTGGTATGAAGGCACGTGGAGGATAACAGCGCACAAAGGACGAAGACAAAGGAAAATAACACACAAGACACACAAGCGCTGACTCGCAACTGAAATATAATACGCAAAGAAAGAGAAGGTAAAAGCATCAGAAGGGCTCGTACTACAAGAGCGAAACACAGACACAGTTTGAAAGGCAGATTATACACTGCATGGAGAGGCCCCTGGTTTGATACCATGACCAGGCAAATTTTTTGGGTGGCGCACTAGTCACTTAGCTGTGTTTGGAGATTTGTGTTTGTCCTTTGTCCCACTTGTTCCCGTTCTCCAGGGATTATTATTGTCATTATTATTGTCATTGCAAAGTTGCACGCTCGCTTGAAACTTTGCATTACCTGCATTATCGCCATAAAAGGTAGCGTACACAATCTTAATCTCGAACTAGAAATTAAGTATATTCCATAAGACCTACCTAAATGTAAATGTATCCTCATCCGAAAGCCCCACTGAAGGCTTGCTAATGAAGCGTTCTTCCAAATTTTCGATAATGTATGCTTCAACTATTTTGCAAGTATTGTTTTTTTAAATCTTCCATTAATTGCCGCCCTCTGAAATTATATAAGTTGCAGCTCCCTGCTTTCATCATCTCCTTTCTTTGTGTATTGTATTTGAATTGCAAATTGTTGTGTGTATGTTTTTACAGCCGGAAGTTTGCCTCAGCGGGCGTTAGTGTCTCAGATGTAGACGAGCGATTTAGCCTGTGCAGTACATCTAACCTGGGGTTTTTAACGTCCACCACGCAGTAGTGACACACACCCACACACTGGTACGATGCTCATCCAGATCGCAACGGGCAGGGGTGGGGTTGAACCCAGGATCCCTGCCTTCTGCTATTTCAGATGCGAGAGAGCGCTTGAGTGTCATGTATGTTGCTTTCCTTTGTCCTCGTCCTTTCGTGCGTTGTTATGTTCCACGTACATTATTTTTTAATAAATATTGGGGGTCTGCTTCGATCGTCAATTAGAATTACATTTTCAAACATGACTATGCATTTTGTTTCAGCAAATGGTTTTGGATGAACGCCACCTTCCTTAGCTTGTCCCTCATCTGTTCCTGCATTTCTGCGTGGCAGATGTCCAGTGAAAACTACCTTCCAGTCATTCCTCCCGTGGTAGACAAAATTTCGTAAGTTTCAAGCAATACATAATAAAAGAACTCTTTACATAAGTCTTGGTACAACCGCATCTAAACCACTTACAAGGTGCGATTTAATGTAAAGGTTTTTATTTGGTATATTGAAATATTCTAAGTGCGGTGGTTAGAAACAAAAATTCTTATATAGCAGTGGGCCAATACACTCTGGTCGAATTTTCTTTTTTTCATGCTACTATAAAAATATGCAATTCAATATAAATTTTAGACACGTGCTTCACTAAGAGAAATGTACTTGCGAATCATCGCACTCATGTCGAAACCTTGTTAAAAATGATCGGTCTACAGTCAAATACAACCTAATATTCCTTGAAAAAAACTCCATCCCGTATCAGCCACCACTTTGAATCGCTCCAAGAACGAACCAGGGAAGGCAATAGCCATGACAAGTTATGTAAATTTAGCTTGACGGGAACCTCGGTAGTGAACTATTTTTGAATTGCGGAGGAAGGGTGGCTTGGCGGTAATGAGAGTGTTAAAAAGGCTTGTGCTGCATTTTTTTGTTGTTTTGTTTTTGTTCTGGCAATATTTTATTTCACTTTTCGAGGAAGCTGGACGGACGCTGTGAGCCACCAGACGTTGCGGAGTAAATATTTAAATGAGCGTATAGAAGGCCTTCTATATGCTTTGAATGCCAAGTAGCACACCAGAGAAACACCTTACTTCGCAAAGCTGGCAATCCTAAGGATTTTAATTGGGCCTAATACAGTTTTCCTCCAAGGAATTATCAAGTTCCAGGGAACATTTTTGCGTTTTTCAAGCTTTCTTAATTATTTTTTTTGCAATTTTTTATATGTGCGAGACTTCGCCTAAAGGCAAAGTCTCGCACATCAAAAACATGGTTTGGACATGAACATGAAGATGGTTTATATGAGCCGAAGAACCATCAGTGAAGCTTAAATCTGACACTTGTTAGGTGAATTATGTCCAAAGTACCCAGACTCTGGCAAAAAAAGTTCAAGTTTGGCTCCACCTCTATTTCTTCGGGCTTTTCTTCGAACACCACACCACATTCTTGCGCCGCGGTTTGATTTTCGCTCAGCTTCTTGATGACGCATCTTTTTCACCATGTTAAAAGTTACCCGATACTGTGGTAAAAGATTGTAAACTTGCTAGAAGAAAAAGACACGCGTCTTTTCATGTGCCTTTTACTTTCTAAGAAGCGAACAATGTTTTACCACAGTCTCGGGTGTTTTTTAACGCAATCAGCATTCGCCGTCTCGCGTGCAAACTCACTGTATTTGCACCTTGCTTGTTGCGATTAATTGTACATCATTGTAACGGTGTATAAAATATCTCTAAATACACCTTCTATATCCTTTGGATGCCTATGGATTGCCTGCTGTGGGCTATGCATAATTTATGTTGCCTTGACTGTTTTGTAACGTTTTAGTGCCACATTCGACAGGTACACTTTCGGCGTAACATCTAGCCCGTAAACAGGTTTTGTATGAAAATAAAAAAGGTGTACAAATAAAGCGCAATCAAGCACAGGCTGTGTAGAGCGTTCCTCAGATACAGATATATCCTCAATCGCGGTCACAGTGACCACTCCAGCGATCATTGCAGTGCTTGTTCTCAATGATGTCGGTAGAGCAGCTAAACGGAGAACTAGCGTGAGCTCGTCAATTTCAAAATGATTTACTACGCACAACCTTTAAGGGGCCATGCAACAAATTTAACGCGTGCAGTAAATATCGCTTAGAATTATTTCTTGACTTTTATAAGCGATGGAACACGCATTTTCTTCACGTCCCAGACAAAAATACCGAGAAAAACGCGTAGCCTTCATTCACTCCCTAACTTGCAGCGAGAAGGGGAGGTCACGTGATCTGAAGCTGACTACATATAGGGGGAGGGGAAGGGGGAAGTGGGGAGGGGGTGGAGAGGGGGGAATCGGGCACTCGGATCCACGAAGTTAATCGGAGATAAATCATTTTTATTATCATTAAATTTTGGTTTTAAGGTTATATTTTTATGTATACAAGTATAATAAACAATTGAACGGTTTGAATAAAGGTTCTTTCTAATAAAGTACTGTACACAAGATAATATAGGAACATGGTAAGGACTCACATGGGCTATTATTGTTTTATATAAACCCTGGCTGCTTACGTAATTTACTGTATGCGCAGCACCTGTCTCCAGCCTAGACATGTTCGCTTTTCGGGTATAGTGTATAAATTGAGAGAATGTTCTCCCAGGATTACAGATTACGTACATTTGAAATGCTCAGTTTCTCACCCTTTCTACCTCTCTTTTTTGTCTTTGCGCTTGTTTAAACGCAAAAAAAAGAACAAAGAAAAAAAAGCATAAAGGCAACATTTTAGGGCTCAATATATTTTACTGCAGCCCCCTAAATCTTAACGATTCCAGGACTGTTTGCGAGGTCTGGAGCCAGAGCACACGCACCTACCAACTCTTTGTTTCCTAGAAACTATTTCCGGAGCGGAGTAATTTCGAAGGTGCTGGAATTCTATATCGGAATTGGGGGGGAAAATATGGCTTTAATCCGATTTTCAAGAAGCATGACCGGCGTGCAAATATTGTGAAATATCTGGTTTTACATGAAAAAAGGACCGTAATTATAATCCACCAGTGTTTATCATAACATTCTAATTACAAAAGCGCAAAGGACAAGGACAGAACAAAGAATGAACAGGACAAGCGCTTTTCTTTGTTCATTCTTTGTTACGTCCTTGTCTTTTGCGCTTTTGTAATTAAGATGTTTAACCAACTAGCCCAGCAGTTAATTTTAATTTTATCATAACCATGCGCTCGGGTTCGCAAAGCACAGGGCACGCGCTGAGTTCCACACATTGTTGGGTTCGGCTGTTCCCGTCATAGCCGCTATTGGGTATTGAGCCACTACCCGAATGTATGTCAAGACATTGATCGTCCCAAGCTCTATCGAATATTCATGCAGTGCTGGTGTGTTCATTGAGCTGCATTGATATATTGTTGCCACGATGATTGCGCAGATTGATTACCAAATTCTGCCGAACGGATTGTTGACAACTTTGAGAATGTAATCCACACAACTTCATCATCAAGTTGTGTGAAGGAAATACGGAAAAATGTCCCCTTTTATTCTTAAAATTACGTGGCAACGAAGAAGCTTCTTGATCCGTGGCGCTTCCTCTGTGTATACTTGAGTCGCACTAGTGCCAGTAATATTGTAATAAACAATCTTACCTAATATTGCCGCATGCTTCCTTTAAATTTCGGCTAAAATGGTTCAATGACGTACAGAGGAAAAATTAATACAGGATGCAAATTTAAGGGGAATTGAGGACTTTCGATACATCTAAAAATTAATATCTCCATATCATAGGTTTGAACGATGACATCATACAAACTGGCGTAAAAATCTTACTAACAATTACGCAATATTGATTTGTCGGTTTGAATACGTGTTTTGTTTTTTTCCCAATATTCTATGAATAAAAAGATTTTCATCTATTTTCAGAACTCTGGCCGACACTTTCAACTATGTGTATATGACGCCCTGGAATCATGGAACATGCTTTTTTATTGGTTGCGCAACATCTCAGTTTATTAAGAAATATAAGGACGCCAAGATATCTAAGGTAAGGTAGTTTTAGAAATCTGATCAATCTCATTTTTTTGCATGTTAGTTCGTTACGGAAGCACGAATGGTGCGTTTTTTCTAGAGAACCTGATTTTATATTTGCGTATGAGATATTCTAATAGATGAAGAATGAATGGTATGAGATATTCTAATACATGAAGAATGAATGGTAGACGAATTTATTCGACGTGGGTATAAATCATTTCTGCATATGTTCGCATCGATTGGCGATCTTCCAGAAGAATGTAATTTTTATAAATTTGTACAGGCAGCCTGTTCATAAATATTAGTTTGTATTATGCACCTGATAAACCGGAGCATATTACGCCTAAGAACTTAAATGCGTCAAAAAAATTACACAGGTATATTGTCTACAAAGTCCTATGCCTATCATGAGATATCGGAAATATTGCAAATTGAGAAGAACTTCGGCTGGTGTTCCTTGTAGAAGTAGATTTTTTTAGATACATGTTTAAAATATAACCTTGCATATATTTTGATTCAACTCATTGGACCTATGCATGCTCGCAAAATAGACAAACTCTAGAAAAAACATTAATTTTTCTCACACGGGGAATATAAAGATTGCTATAATGGCTAAATGCTTAGTTGGACTAATTTTGACTAAAATATAAACGAGCCTAATATCGGAAGTCCTCAAAATTCTTCAAAAAATGTATCGAAAAAGAAATGCTGAATACTTAGACAAAATGTATTTAACAACAAGTCCACCTACACGTTTTAGAACATTATTTAAACGCAGGATACAAATACGCCCATAGAATTTGATCATCTTCAAATACTTTTACAAATACATTTTTCTCCCATTATCTCGCATCATACACTTTTTCCTACACCCGCTGACAAACGCGTCAGCCAGCGTTCCCGGTATCCGCTGCCATTTCCGCATTTTTTTCCGACACCAGCTAAAAACTCGACCGCCAGTGCGCCCGGCGTCAACTGCTATTCACGAACTATTTCCGACAACCGCAGGCAAACTCGTCTGTCAACGTTCCCGGTGCCAATTGCTGTTCCCGCACATTTTTCCGACACCCGCGGATACAAACCCACCTGGTCCCCGGGCCTCGACACGCTCTTTCTTGCTCACCACTTCACCCCAAGTCAGGATACCCTGCTCTCTCTTGCAGCGTACTAAAACTGCTACGAGACCCGATCTCCGAGTCCGCGATCTGTCTTCTCCACGTGAAGCCGGGCTCCAGCGTGTCCTCGGCTGGCTAGGGGGTTAGGGCTATGTGCGCACATGGATCCTGTAGAAAATTGTGGACCGACTTTCCATCAGTGTGTGCTGATTATATAGACGTCGAGACGTTGAACCGCCGTCGGCGCACAAACGTACGTCCAGCATTCCCAACACTAGCGAAAGCGTCACGTACATAGCCGCCATGGCTCGCACAAGCTCACCAACACCTCCCACGTCCGCCGCAGGTGCTGGAGCCCCAAGCTCATACAGCTTTAGGGAGCTCAGGATTCCATTCACGGGAACACGCCCGGTGGCGTCCGACACTCGCCGTGCCTCGCTAGGACAGAGCGTCTCTATTCGTAGCCACGCTCGACCTCGTATCGACAAGAAACGTTGGTTCTCACGATAACGAGCGCTCAGCGATTTAGGGGCGCCATTCCCCCAAGATGATCGAGAAACGCTTCGAATGTGTCCACCTAGGGACCACCGAAAGCGAGGACCAGCTGATCGAGCGTCGCGTTGGGCGCCAAATAAGGTTTTTTTTGTTTTTTTCCTTTTAGCCACCGCACGATCACGCGCCGCGTCTACCGCCCCGAAGGAGATCGCACAACGCAAGGTACGAAGGATCGACTGTCCCACAGTTGAGCGATCTCGAGGCAGCGCCTTGTCCTTTTCCGTCACCGACCATCCGCAATCTCGCCACACGAGCTCTGCCCCGTGCCATCCTCGTCTTCTCACTTGGCTCCCGCGGGCCCGTGGCCGGCCGCCTCGTGGCCAGATCCCCAAAAATTTTACCACGGGTAAAAAAAAAATACTCAGCACAAATAAAGAGCTGTGCAACTTTCTTTCAGTTGCTCGATTCAGCATCTTGGTATACTGGGTGTTTTTATTAGCTGCATCGAAATTATAAAAAAAGTGCTGTATTGTAACTATATATATATATATATATATATATATAGCAGAAGACACAGCACAGTCGGCACAGCAACAGACTCCAAAATACAGAGCTGACGCCGCAAGAAATGTTTAAAAAACGAAGAATAGGCGTCCCAGGGCAGTGCCGGCGGAGGTGCCCGCGGGGCAGCATCACAGGGGACGCGGTTACTGGGACAATATGCCAGGGAGGAGGTGTGACGTCACGGTCGCTTTTTTCTAAATTAGTTTTGGTTTGGGATTGTCTGCGGAACTGAAATCATTTGGCCACTACCGCCCAAATGCTCCCAAGTTCATTACAGCTCGCGGTTTGAACATACAGCCTGGATGCTTGGACATCAATATACACCAACTCATGTTTACAAACAAACCGGAGTGCCCCTAGCGGACGCCACCGGCGCCGCGCATGCGCGGTGGATGGTGGGCAAGAAGCCCGCCGTCGCCCATAAACAAACCATTGAATTGCGTTGTTCTCGGCGTCGGTGGGAGTCCCCGTGCTCTTTTTCGCGTTGGAATTGTTGATTCTACGTCCTCCTAACAATGTCTGACTACTTGAGCGGCTTCAGCAAAACTATTGAGGCAAAACTTTGCGTGAATAATATGACGTGCGGCGATTCACATCACGTGGACGCCGCAGAATGGGCGCTAAAGCCTGACTCCCACGATGAGATTCTGCTCGCTATTTTCAGTCGCGACGTCGCTCGAACTGCAAAAGCGTGGACCGTAGTTGAGATGGTGGACGTCGATACTGAAAACCGCAAGTAGAATCGGGCATTACAAGTCGGTGATGGCCACTGGTAACAATGACCAACAACTTCTTGTATCTGTTTACACCTAGCCGACTTACCCCAACCAACCTTCAAAAGTGTTTTGAGGCCTGCACTTAGTTCTTATCGCAATTACCGGGTCAACATTTGGCTTACGGGCCGCTGTCGTTTGAACGAACTGTCGACAAAAAGCAGTTCAGTTTGAAAGAGCAGACGACAGTTCGAACGCACGCGCAATGGAGTACCGGCAAGAAGCACCGCGCCCCGCGTGAACAAACCATTCGAATGTCACGTTGTCAACGTCTGTGTGAGTCTGCATACTCTTTTTCGTGTTGGAGTTGTCGATTCTACATCCTCATCGCAATGTCTTACCACTTCAATCGCCTGAGCGAAATTATCAAGGCTCGTTACGCCGCTAAACTTTCCGTAAATAATTTGACGTGCGGCGATTCATTCGCATGAACGCTGCAGAATGGACGCCAAAACCATGATGAGATTCTTGTTTCTATTTTCGGTCACGACGTCGCTCGTGCTGCAAAAGTGTAAAAGGTAGCGGCGATGATCGACGTCGATACTGAAAATCGGAAGCGGGAACAGACCAAGCGTAACAAGTAGGTGATGGCCACCGGTACCAATAATTAACATCTTGTATCTACTGTTTACACCGAGCCTACTTAAGCCTTTTGAGGCCTGCAATTACTTCTTATTGCAATCACCGGGTCAAAGTTTGGTCTACGGGCCACTTTTGTTTGAACGAGCAGACGACAAAAAGCAGACAACTTTGAAAGAGCAGACGAAAGTTCGAACGATCCGGCGGCCATGTGAATTTGAAGACGCACTGAATCCGTGGGTGGTCTGGACAACTTGGGGGTTTTCTCTCGGTCATGTTGGAACAAAGCAAATACATCTGGCGACCACAAATTGTGGCCCGCACACGCAATCGTAGTTCGACAGCGTCTGGTTTGCCCTTTTCACGGCTGCTATCCACGTTCTCGGACGAACTGAGGGTGCAAAAACACATGAAAACTGATCTTCAAACCTTCCCAGACTCTCTTGGTAAAGCCCCATCGCAGCATTTTGACGAGAAGGCAGGTTTTTTGTCTCGTTTCTTCCAAAGGAATACAGGAATGCATGTCTGGCACGGCGACTTCTGCCCACCGCCCCAGACCGGAAGTGCGTCCGGCGCGCCACCACCGCAGCATGACGTAGGAGAGTTGAGTTGGTGTATAGGAAATGCAATAAGCCCTCTCAATTCATTATGTAAAAAGTTAATTAAACTATTTGCGCTAATTAGCCGCCTAATTACAGAAACAACCTTGGTCATAGGGTTCACCAATTCGGGTGAGTACTAGACAGATTCGGGTGAACACAAATAAAAAAAAATCCTGTACGCCACGCAATTGAATTAATCACTTGCAAGAAAGTTGCAGCTCTAAAACTGAAGTCTGTCACGAAATAGGCGGGTACAACACCAGTAAACACAATGTATTGCGTACAAATTTGATCTGAAAGGCTCAAGTGAAGCAATAAAAGCTTTTCAGGTATGTTAATAATGCAACGTCTAAAAAATTTCATCAGTCAACCAAAACGTATTGTACCAACCCCGTTCATTCCTTCTTCTAGTCTTTCTTGTTTTTCTTTTGCCGTGTTTAGTATGATTAAAGCACGGCAAGTTTAATATTCTTGCATGCACTTTTTGCGATGCTATCACATCGCCAAGAGTGCATTATATCGCATTTAATTGCGAAAAACAGCGTCCACAATTGTATTTTGACTGTATTTGAAGTATTCACTTTTTCAATATTTCAACATAGTTGACGAATACATTCCTCAATATGTAATTCTATATAAAAAAAAGTTCTAATAGTATTTTAAATGCGTACTTTCAAATACTTGCATCTAAAATACTGCCCATCCCAGCTTAAAAAAATACAAAAACATTAATATTTTTTTTAATACGCATCGCTGTGAATTTGTTATCTTTTAAGGCAGCTCAATACTCGCACTTGTCTCTCGAATTATTGTCACCCGTGCAACGCTCGCGATGGACTTAGATTTATATCGAGAACTCAACCAAAAACAAAAAAACACTAACAC